TCCAGTCCAAGTCTAAAGGCCTAAGAACCAGAAATGCCAATTGTGTAAGTTCCGGTCTCAAGAGAAGACAGACAGTCCAGCTCCATCTGTCAAACAGAGAGAGTGAATTCTCCCTTCCTCCGCTTTTCTGTCCTATTTAGGCCCTCAGCGGATTAGGTGAGGCCAGAGAGGACATCTGGTATACTTTGTCCACCCATTCATATGGTATCGTCATCCAGAAGCACCCTCACAGACACATTCAGAAGTAATGTTTAACCAAATGTCTAGGTACTATATGGCCTAGTCAAGTTATTACGTGAAATTAACCATCATGGTAGTCATCTGTAAAAAATAATTAAATTGAACAGTGTAATTAGAAAACGAACAAAGGTCTTGAATAGATACTTCATCTAAGAGGCTTTTTAGAGAGAAATAAGCACATGAAAAGATGTTAAACATTGTTAATCACTAGGAAAATTGTTAAAGTGACTATATAATATTAATATTAATATCTTAATAAGGTCTGTGGTTTAGTAATGGTATGGTACCAATGTAAATATCCTGGTTTTATGAATCCCCCTTTGCTTATATATCATTGGGCAAACTGGCTGGAAGTTATACAGGGAATTCTCAGTACCAATTTTTACAACTTCTGTAGGAATTTTAAATTACTTCAAAATAAAAATTTTGAAAATGATTGAGCTTCATGTTTAAAGTCTGTGCATTTTAGGGGCGCCTGGGTGGCTCAGTCGGTTAAGCGTCCGACTTCGGCTCAGGTCATGATCTCGCGGTCCGTGAGTTCGAGCCCCGCATCGGGCTCTGTGCTGACAGCTCAGAGCCTGGAGCCTGTTTCAGATTCTGTGTCTCCCTCTCTCTCTGCCCCTCCCCTGTTCATGCTCTGTCTCTCTCTGTCTCAAAAATAAATAAACATTAAAAAAAAAAAATTAAAAAAAAATAAAGTCTGTGTATTTCATTGTATGTAAATTATAGCTGTATAAAACATTTAAAGTGTCTTCCATGCCCACATATGTTATATAATGAGGCCTCTGCCTCATATGAGAAAGGGGGTTTGTGCAATGATGATAATGTCTATAAGTGGAGGGGTAAAATAAATGAACCAAATCTAGATCTTACAAATATAATAGACAGTGAAAAATAAGCAAGTTGCAGAAAATAATATTCTAAAATTTTTGAATACTTTTATAAGATAGGTTATAAGTGAACTTTGCTTTATATATTTTATTTCTCTTGGGGTGGCTTAGTCAGTTAAGCAGCTGACGCTATCAGCTCAGGTCATAATCTAACAGTTTGTGGGTTTGAGTCCCACATTGGGCTCTGTGCTGACAGTGTGGAGCCTGCTTAGAATTCTGTCCCCCTCTCTCTCTTCCCCTCCCCCATTTGCTATCTCTCTCTCAAAATAAACTTAAAAAAATAAATTTTATATCTCTTGTTATGTTATTTAAAAAAATATTTATTTATTTATTTATTTTGAGAGAGAGAGACAGAGACAGAGAGAGCTAGCAGGGGGAGGAGCAGAGAGAGAGAAGAACGAGAATCCCAAGCAGGCTCTGCACTGATAGTGTGGGCTCCATCTCATGAACCCTGAGATCATGACCTGAGCCAAAATCAAGAGCCAGACACTTAACTGACTGAGCGCCCTTATTTCTCTTTTAAAAAAAATCTAGGGGTGCCTGGGTGGCTCAGTAGGTTGAGCCTCTGACTCTTTGTTTCGGTTCAGGTCATGGTCTCATGGTTTCACAGGTTCAAGCTCCGCGTGAGACTGCATTGACAACTCAGAGTTTGCTTGGCATTCTCTCTCCCTCTCTCTCTGCCCCTCCCCCACTTGTGCTGTCTCTGTCTCTCTCAAAATAAATAAATAAACTTAACATCTAGATAATAAGGAAAAAATATTTATTTTTATGTGTGCAGTTTAGTATGTCTTAACTTATGTTAAAAATAAATATTTAATAAAATATTGTTTATGAAAAAAAGAAGAAAGAGGAATTCCCTGTTCTTTATTAGATGTGAGAGATTCTCTGTTTGTAATTAACTTGCATGGGTTGGAGGTGAATCAGGCTCCAGATGCTTAGAAGTAGTGTTCAAAAGGAGCTTCTGGGTTACTCAGCCTGTTAAGTGTTGGACTTTGGCTCAGGTCATGATCTCACTGTTCTTGAGTTTGAGCCCCATGTCCAACTCTGTGCTGACAGCTCAGAGCCTGGAGCCTGTGTCTCCCTCTCTCTCTGCCCGTTTCCTGCTTGTGCTCTGTCTCTGTCTCTCTCTCAAAAATAAACATCATTAATTTTTTTTTTAAAGTCATGTTCAAATATTCATGCTCCTCATTTTATTATGAAAATATGGAGAAAAAAATGTTACAAATGTTGCAGGTAGGGGCCACATAAATGCACCCAGTTCAGAAAACAAAGACGTATGAGAGTTTTGCAAAATTACTATTTAAAAAATATTTGCCATCGAATTGCACATAAGAATATTCTTATCTAACCTTGACTCAAAACAGTTTATTGTGTTATAACTATACAAAGTGTCTAATATTACAGTGTTTTAGAATTAAGTATACATTTTTTTGTAGAATAAGAAAAGCATGGGCAGTCATATTCAGTTTTTAAGTATATCCATTCTGCATGATATAGAAGAAAATAAATAGAGAAATAATAAAGAAAGGTCAGTTAAAGGAAAAATAATGTTCAATTTAAAAGGCAATGTTTTCAGAAAGAGAATCTGCATATTAATGCATATGTGGCTCTCAGATGCACTGCTGGACCTTTCACTAACCCCTTTATCAAACATATGGGTTTGTATTTTAAGCTGCCACGTGGCACTATTGTGAAATTGTGTATTCCTGTTAAGTTTCACTTCTAAATTTGGTTCCTTGTTATAATCTGACCCAGTTAGTAACTGACATTAATTATTTTCTTCTTTGGAAGAAACAATCTTTTGGGTGTTAATGGTTAGATGGTAATGGGATTTATGGAAGGCATGTGTTCACACATATTTTCTTGACATGTGGGTATGATCGTATTTGGAGGATGGGTGGGATTTCTTTTTTCTTTTAATTTTTTTAAAGTTATTTATTTTTGAGAGAGAGAGAGATCAGGGGAGTGGCAGAAAGAGAGAGGGAGACACAGAATCCGAAACAGGCTCCAGGCTCCGAGTTGTCAGCACAAAGCCTGACACAGGGCTCGAACTCACGAGCCGTGAGATCATGACCTGAGCTGAAGTCAGATGCTCAACCAACTGAGCCTTTTTTTTTTTTTTTAATTTTTTTAGTGTTGGGGGGGGGTATTTCTACTTTCTAAATAGGTATGTGAAATTATGTCATCAAATTGAAGCAAATAAAACCTGATTTTAAAATCTTGAATCTTGTAGTTAAAGCCTCCTTAGCTAGCAGGAGGGTCCTTAAGTGGTTAACATGTTTTTCCTTGTTTTTTAACTGATCTCACCAGAACTGTAGTATTGCGTTGGTACTTCCCCCTTATTCCTAGCTGGTTCTTTTTTTAATAAAGTTTTATTTGTTTATTTTTGAGAGAGAAAGAAAGAGAGGGAAAGAACAAGTAGGGGAGAGGCAGAGAGAAAGGGGGACAGAGGATTCAAAGCAGGCTCCATGCAGACAGCAGAGAGCCTGATGATGTGGATCTCGAACCCACAAACCGGGAAATCATGACCTGAGCCGAAGGCAGCCACTTAACTGACAGAGCCACCCAGGTGCCCTATGACTGGTTCTTTCTAAGTCTTCGTACTGATGGAGCTATACTAATGGAAATATTAGATACATACTTTTGTACACTAATTGAAATAAATTTAGAAAGAATGTATAATATTTTTCATACCAATCACAGGTATAAATTAGAAGCCAGTTGTTATTTATTTCATTTTTCAACAGTTTTCTACTGTGGTCTTTTGACAATGCAATTGTATCACTTAGCTGGGTACATCAAAAAGTGACTGACATAGAATGGTGTCTATTCATGCACATGAGAGTGTGAAGAAGTTGGGAGGGGTATGTAAAGGAAAAGTGCAAAGATAGAGAATGATCTTTAGATTCTATTTTCAGGAGATTTTGTAGCCCATTATATGAGGATAGCTTTTTAAGCACAGTGATGGTTTTATGATATTATTTTGCTCTATTTAAATTTGTCTCACATCAAACATTAAGGACAATGCTTTCTCATAGGAGTTCAAGCATCTTGTGGTTTGGGTTAAATCCTAGTTATTTTGAGGCTGCTTTCCTTTCCATCATGGCATTTTCCCTTACTTCAGGGCTGTATCCTGATAAATCTGTACTTAATAATATTAGACATTATGTAAAATAATATTCTATAGGCAAGAAGTGATTCTTTCAACTGTTAGGTTCAGTCCAAGGTAGTAATAAAAGTTCCAATGGTAATTTTAGATGAAATAAATTATTTAATTCTATGTCCTTAAAATAATATATCTTGAAATTTCTATATATTAACCATTACCCTTAAATTAGCCTTACTGCATAATATTTTTATATTAGTAATAGTTTTAACGAGAAGGCAGAGATCTTTTATGACTTTGTAGTATACAACTATGGAATGAAAGGCATTTTGAGGAATATTGTTGAGAAGACTAATACTTATAACTGGTGAAATACAAATATTGCAGAAAATAATCCAATATGACATTTCTAACATTCAATTAAGAATTAAATAATACACTTGGTAAATAAGTGATGTTAAGCTGTTTCAAGTTTCACCAGTTGCCTTTAAGATTGATTTTCATCAAAATTACTGTACTAAAATGTTTTCTTTTGTTGTACAGACTCAAATAGCAAACCTCAATTTTAAAATCGGCTCTTATTTGCAAGAAATGCTTTGACATAGTGCATTTGTTCTGCCTGGGCACCAGTAAAGGATTGTGGTATCATTTTGAAGAAGGTTGTTTGACAGAGCCTGTTTGTTTATTTGGGGTAATGTGAGCTGCATTCAGAAAATGCCATATTTTGTTTCATGATTGTATACATTCTCTCCCATTGCTCCCAGGCAAGACTTGTAAGCAGAGAAGACACGGATTTAGACCTTTTTTCCATGACCAGTGGAAGTGCTTTGTCTGTAAAGAGAGAAAAAAAAAATCAGGCACACAGACACTCAGCGGGATCTTCAAGTAAGTTGTGGTTTCCTTCAGAATTAATTTAGAAATCACAAACGAATTGATGGAACATAATGCCAACAAGCATTCTTTTTTAGATAAGGGGTAGGCTGCCAGCAGCCAGAACTGCCTGAAAGTGTGTATTGGAAGTTTTTCTTTCTTTAAATGTCTTCTTTTGATATAAACCAAATTAAATCATTTCTGAAATTAACGGCATCAATTTTTATTTTAATTATAATTCTGTGACTCCATGTTCTACTTTCCTCACTTCCCGTGAATATATTGAATTGTTTGATCATTTAGTTCTAAAAGAACTTTTAGGCTAATTGCAAAAAGTTGGATTTATATATCAAAGTAGTGTATTTTGGCCTTTTGTCACTGATATAATAGATGTTACAGGTCACCTTAACTTTTAAAGGAAACTTTTTAAAATAACAGACTTTTAGATAATAATATTATTATCAAAACTGTCAAAACCATGCTTTGGACACTATTTCTTTCTTTTTATTTTCTTTTTTTTTAATGTTTATTGTTTTTGAGAGAGAGAGAGAGAGAGAGCATGAGCAGAACAGAATCTGAAGCAGGCTTCAGGCTCTGAGCTGTCAGCACAGAGCCCGATGAGGGGCTCGAACCCATGAGCTGTGAAATCAGGATCTGAGCTGAAGTAGGATGCTCAACCGACTGAGCCACCCAGGCGCCCCTCGACCCTATTTCTGTTGAATAGATAACAGTTCACATTTATTAATGATGAATTTTTACATTTGTTAACTTGACACACCCATCTATTACCTTCAATATCATGATTTCAACAAGAACGGCGGTATAGTTATTAACTGAAAAAAAATAAGCATTTAAAAATATCTATATCTTGTAATAATAAAGTATAATTTTTTCAAACTCTTCATATACCATAGAGATTTTGAAATATCTTCTAAAATGTTTTAGTATATTAGTATAAAATATGTTTTATTTAGATATCATATTTTTTTAATTTCCCCAAAGTATAGTAAACCTCAGAAGTCCACACATTAACTCATACTTCATTATAAGCATTAAGTTTTTCTTGAAAAAGTTTTATTGCTCACTAGTACAATACTTTTATAGATGCAAAATCAATACTTGATTGAATGTGAAAAACTCAACGATCCAGGTGGTGCTCTACAGACAAACAAAAGCTTAAAAATGATTCTCTTTCACTTTTTATCCAGGTACATGGCATTATTAGAGTCCAGTCATTTAAATCCATTAACATATGCAAGTTCATTTTGGTAAATTTTAATTTGGTTTTGAAATAATGATTTCAATATATCTAATTTAAAACTATTTTCCAGGATTCAAAGTTCTTAGAAAGCCTGAATTTTCTTTACTTCATTATAGAATCTGGTCACAAAAGGTTCTAGTCAATATGGTTAAGAAAGAAATTGGGGCGCCTGGGTGGCTCAGTCGGTTAAGCGTCCAACTTCAGCTCAGGTCACGATCTCGCGGTCCGTGAGTTCGAGCCCCACGTCCGGCTCTGGGCTGATGGCTCAGAGCCTGGAGCCTGCCTCTGATTCTGTGTCTCCCTCTCTCTCTGCCCCTCCCCCATTCATGCTCTGTCTCTCTCTGTGTCAAAAATAAACGTTAAAAAAATTAAAAAAAAGAAAGAAATATTTTAGGTTTATTAACGAAGTAAAATTATATTAATGATCTAATATAAAATTTTTGCATTCTTAACATAATCTGTTAGTTACATCAAATTTCAAAATAGATACAACATTTCAGAAGTAATCAACCTGTGTCACACATAATAATAAATACTATCTTGATTTTAAGTACTGCATAGTATGAACTTATTATATATCACTTTGGAGCAGTAATACAAAGCCAAAAAAATTGCCTTGTCAAAGTCTCTATTCATAATATGTCTTCTGACTATTAAAACATGAACAGCTCAATAAATCAGCAGCTATCCTAAAATCCTCTAGCTTTACCTTTCACTTATGTGACATCAAATCATAGATTCTAGAAAATACGAGATCATTATATAGATTTAACTTTTTTTAATAGTCTTATTTTCTTTTAAAATTTTAATTCCAGGATAGTTACCACACAGCGTTATATTAGTTTCAGATGTACAATATAGTGATTCAACAACACATTCTCTAAAGAACAAGCTGTAATATGGCTATCCTCAGTAAATAACATTATAGCGAACACTACTAATCACTAAATCTGTTCACTGACAATTAAGACAAACAACTTTAGAAAAATAGAGTTTTGATTAAATAACAGAATTATTATGAATAAAATAGCACTTACTGAGTTATTGTAGGTACTAGTTTACTACAACATCTGTATAATATAATGGTGAAATGTAGGCTCCACCATCAATCTGCCTGGAATTGTATCGTGACAATTTCCCCATCCTTAAAACGGGAATGAGAAGAGAAGTACTGTATCTACCTTGAAGAGTTATTGTTAGGATAAAACGTATAGCATTTAAAACAATATCAGGCACAAAACAAGGGCTTAATAAATAGTCTTTATAATTGCCACCTAAACATAGCCATAGAAGAAAAATCAATTGAAGTAAGATATTAACGTCACTAGTATCTGGGCACATGGGCTAACTAGCTCAGCTTATAAGAAACCTACTCTTAATAGTTACTTAACTAAAAAACTTGGGGTAGCCTATTATCCATAGAACTCTTTTTACCATCAAAATCCTTGGGTCATAGGCCTCCATGGCCCTGAGCCAACCACGTTCAGCTTTGGTATTTTGAAAGCTCTTTTTTTCCTCCAGCTTTTTCTCTCTCTCTTAAAAAACTTATCACCTTATTAAAACTAAAGCATTTCTTTTAGCTTTGCAAGCCAAAGCTAAGGAGTAGTTTATGGCTGCAGCTATAAAACTCTTTCAGCCTTTGAACTAGATATTTCTCTCTCAATATTGCTATAATATTTGTAACATGTATTCTGTAGCATCAGATAATTTCAGGTTTAAAATCCCAGTTCCACCATCACACATAAGTTGTGTGATCTTAACTCTAAGAACAAGTTAACTATCTGTAAGATGGGAACAGCAATGTTTATCTCATAGAGTTTGGTGGGGAAGAAATGAGTAAAAATAAAGGTAAAGCATGTGATACATTTCCTAGCATACAGTAAATACTTGCTGTTTGTATTGTTTTTGTCTTATGTTGCTGTTGCATAATTTTAAACGACTTTAAAGTAGAATTGCCTTCCTTTCCTGTGTCAAATAATACCAGAACCAGCTTCATGACAGTCATCTTAAGCAATGCTGTCAGAGAATTTCCTAAATTCTCTCTCCTTTTCCTTTTAGGTCTGACTGCTTTATTTTTTGTTTTGTTTTGTTTTGTTTTGTTTTTAATGTTTATTTATTATTGAGGACAGAGAAAGAAAGAGCATGAGCATGGGAGGGGCAGAGGAGAGGGAGACACAGAATCTGAAGCAGGCTTCAGGCTCTGAGCTGTCAGCCCGATATGGGGCTCGAAGTCACAAACTAAGAGATCATGACCTGAGCCAAAATACGACACTCAACCGACTGAGCCAACCAGGCGCCCCTGACTGCTTTCTTAAAAGAGGCCAAGGCAGTCTTCTGCTACTTGGCCTTCTAGCCTACCTTATGGTTTAAAAAAAGATGTAAGAGGTCACATTCTTATTTTTTTAATGCCATTTACAAAATGAGTATGCAAATAAATTCCTTCATTTAGACAATATTTAAACAAAATATTTGGTTTTCTTAAAAGATTCTGGTTTTCTCAATTAATTTTTCCACGTAATGCTTAAGATAAAGGATGCATTGCAGTAATAATAATTTTATTGCTGTAGTAATTTATAGCTTTACAAATTTATTTTCATTATCTTTTCTTATTTATAATGACTATTTATCTTTGACAACTAATATAAATAAGTCTCAGAGTTTATTTAATTTGCCTTGGCCCAAAACACTTAGCAAGGAAAAGCAGAAACTTGAACCCATCTTTTCTTATTGCTTTTTATTCTTCCATGGACTAAAATATAATAGCTGAATTGTAAGAATAGACCACAAGTAATGTAGTTCTTATTTATTCACTCAAGAGCCATCTGCTGAATGATCACTGCTCACTATGCACCTAGTTTAGGTTTTCAGATACCTCTTCCTAATCATCTTTCCACTTTCTAGGACATACTCCATTTTCAGAGTTAGCCAGGGATTGAAGATCCACAGTACCCCTATAATAGTGCATAATCAACCCAAAGTCAAATTCTTCTTTAGGCATATCTAAAGTCTCATGAGATGTAAGCCCTTTTAATATGATACTGAATTTTCTGAATATGAAAGAACCTATTTTTTACAAGCAAAGCAGCTAATATCATTAAAGTGTGTGAGAAAGGCTTCTTGGAGGCAAAATATTTGATTTGTACCTGGAATGACATTTGGGATGTAAATAATGAAAGAAGTGGAAGAAAGTCACCTTAACAAAAGTAAAAGATAAAATATGAATATATGTTCATTGAACTTTGAGGAGTCTCTCTGGACCAGAGTTTGCACATAGTAAAGTAATGCAAAATAAGATTGAATTAAAGATGAAGCCTCGGTTCAGGTAAGTTTGAAAAGCCCCTCAAAAACTTAAAAATAGAACTACCCTACAACCCAGCAATTGCACTACTAGGTATTTAGCCAAAAGATACAAAAATGCTGATTTGAAGGGGCACATGCACCCCAATGTTTATAGCAGCACTATCTACAGTAGTCAAATTATGGTAAGAGTCCAAATGTCCATCTACTTATGAATGGATAAAGAAGATGTGGTATATAAATACACACACACACACACACACACACACACACACACACACACACACAATGGAATACTAGTCAGCGATCAAAAAGATTGAAATCTTACCATTTGCAACAATGTGAATGGAACTAGAGTGCATTATACTAAGCGTAATAAGTCAGACAGAGAAAGACACCCCTGCTGGAGGGGTGGTAGGTGGGAGGATGGGTTAAATGGGTGATGGGCATTAAGGAGGGCACTTGGGTGTGTTATATGCAAGTGATGAA